CCTGAACCAATTTTCCAAGATAGGCAGTGTGCCTTTTCAATGTATTTTTTAAAGTAGTCTTTTATTTTAGGGACACTTTTTTGAATTGGGTTTTTAGTATTTGTTTTGATCTATTTCTTTTAGTCTTGTTCTTTGACATTCCTATTACATGTATATTAGGTCTCTGTCTAGGTATCTTTCGTTTTCTTTTAAATCCTTTGGATTTTTAATTTTTTAATTAAAAACATCTGCCCTTCTTTTGATCTTGTATTTCTTTTTTAAAACATTTATTTATTTAAATTTATTTGTTTACTTATTTACTTTTGGCTGTGTTGGCTCTTCGTTGCTGCACGCAGGCTTTCTCTAGCTGCAGTCAGCGGGGGCTACTCTGTTGCGGTGTGCAGGCTTCTCACTGTCATGGCTTCTCGTTGCAGAGCACAGGCTCTAGGCACGCAGGCTTCAGTAGTTGTGGCACGTGGACTCAGTAGTTGTGGCTTGCGGGCTCTAGAATGCAGGCTCAGTAGTTGTGGCGCACAGGCTTGGTTGCTCTGCAGCATGTAGGATCTTCCTGGACCAGGGATCGAACCTGTGTCCCCTGTATTGGCAGCTGGATTCTTAACCACTGTGCCACCAGGGAAGTCCCTTGTATTTCTCTTTAAGACATTTTCTATTACTTATTTGATTTTTGTTTTTTCTAGTTTAGTCTACATTCTGATATGATTTTCTTTTCCTTCCTGAGTGCTATCATCTCTTTTCAAATCTTCCTTTTTCTGTAATCAATCTTATTTCTGAGTTTTTTCTATTTTATGTTGTTCTTCACAGTGTCTATCATTTTCTAAATTTTTTAGTTTACTTTGAAATATTACTGTTTTGTAAGCCTGTCTTTTTCGTGGATTCCATTGCCTCTAGGGATATTATTTGGCTCCTAATTCTTTTTTCTCATAATAATTTGTAAGGAGTTCGACTGTAATCCTTTCTTTCACTAATGCTTTAAGTGAAGTAAAATTTCTTGTACTTCAGGAGAAGGGGGGGATCACAACTGCTTTCCGAGCTTCATGGCTCTGGAAATCTGACTTGTGTCATTCTCCCAAAGTGACAGACAACATGGCTTCGTACCTTGCTCTCTACTTATCTGCATCTTTTCTTTCCTTTGTCCCACTGTCTGCCTTGCTCAAATCAGGCTCTCTTCCCAGCAGATTCTCCTCTGTCTGGGGGTCCTGGAAGAGAGCTTGTATGGCTAAGAAGGCTTCAGTACCATGAAACACTGGCGTGGCACAGAGCTCTCGCATTCAACTACAAAGAGCACCCTGCATCTCAGTTGTGGTTGCTGTTCTCAAGTTGGCCCACGTGCTCCAGTGAAATGCTGTTGCCAATTCCTATTTTCAGACCTGTGAGGACCCCAGGCAGCTTTCCCTCTCCATCCTCCCCCACAAGTGTGACACCACAGGGTCTGGTTTGTCGAGCACCCCACCTGCCTGTGTTGCCTACTTTCGTTGTCGATGTTGACCATGCAGTCTGCAGACTTGCATCCATGTTTATGTGTTTATGGTAGGATTCTAGCAGACTCTACAATTATGCCTTGCCATTTCCCAGAATCCTAATTAACTCTTTCTGGTAATTTACACATTTTTAGCTTTCCATGCAATTCTAAGCTTATGAAATACATTTTTAATTCTACCTGCTTGTGTGCCTCAAGTTTTTTTTTTTTTAACAGTTTGAATTCTTTCTAGATACCACCAAAGTTTATGTACTTCATATTTTTATCTTTCCTGTTTTTGTTTTTTAATTTTTTGGCCACACCATGCGGCATGTGGGTCTTAGTTCCTTGACCAATTGAACCCACGCCCCCCTGCAGTGGAGGTGCAGAGTCTAAACCACTGGACCGCCAGGGAAGTTCCTCTTTCCTGCTTAAAACCTTAAAATTAACTAGATAGATCAACTAGATCTTATGAAAATTTCAGAATATGTCAGAAAAATCAAAACTGATAAGAATCCATCCAAAAAGAAACATATTTAAAGTCATATTCAATAATGAGAAAATTTACTCAGCTAAAAACTACCTTATATCAACAAGAGAGCATTCCAAAGATAATCTTCCCACGGTCTTTAGGTTTTCCTGAAGTTCTCTTAAACAGTTAACATCCACGACTAGTTCAACACCCACGTCATACAGCAAGACCTACGAAAACAATAACTTATTAAGTCTATGGAAAGACAGTGCTTAAAAAATTTTTTTTTGCAAACTGAAAAGCATAGTAAAAATTGGATGAAAATACAAAACGCATTCACTTTCATGATTATATTTTTAACGCTGCCTTTACCTCCACCGATGTGTCTGTAACCATTCTGATGATCTGGCCCCTTTGCCACTGATTTTCATTTGGGATCTTAACAGCACAGTGCATATTGCTCTTCCACTTAACAGGTTCCCATTTTGAGTTTTCATAAGCAGAGACCATCTTTTCTCCTAAGCTATGTAAAGAAAAAAAATTTTAACTCTCGAAACCTTTTCTTGTACAATTCCCTGACTCCCTGTCTTCTACTGTCCTCCCTCCCTCATTCTATTCCAAACAAACCGGCTACCTTGTTCTCCTCCTTGGACACCCAAGCACATTTCCACTGCAGGGTCTGGAACTAGCTCTTCCCTCTGCCTGACTTGAGCTTCTCCCAGGCATCTTCATGGCTCCCTCCCTCCCTGCCTTCAGGGTCCATTTCAAGTGTCACTGACTCTGTGAGGTCTTCCTCCCCCACTGCTTGATCTTTCTCCTCTTCATCATCATCTGCTGCACTGAATACTTTGTTCACTGTCACTCCCTCTACTAGAATTTACGCTCCATGGCAGCACAAGCTTGTCTATGTTTTTACCACTGTATCCCCAACACCTATAATACTGGCTGTCTAATAATAGGCACTCAGTAAGCATTTGTGGAATTTATAAACCCTAACACAGTGAAAATAACCAGTAAAAATACTATTTGTATACTTTTAACTGGTTTTTTAGTGAATATTTAGCTGAAATAATTTTGTACTTTTAAAATTCTGCATTTATGACTTCTAGATCTTTGAAACGAAATACAGAAAAAAGAATAAAGTTACATGCACAATGTTTTCTTTGAATGTTATACCTATGAAGTAAGTTTTCTGTTAATAACCACTGAACATAAATCTTCTCAGGAGACACTACATTGTAGATGTACACAGGCAGTTCCTTATAATAAAGTGATTGCAGATCCTCATTAGGTAGCGATTTTGCAAATACAGGATTTAAGTTGTTTACTTCATTCGAAATAATTTCTTCTGGAGAAGGATCCCATACTTCAGTATGCTTTTTGGAATTATCTTTGAGGGTATATCTGAAAAATAACAAAACCCATTAGCAAAAAGAGTAGTTTGCAAAATATTTATGTTTGTATTTGCTTAGATCTAGAGATGAATAATATACGATTTTAGATACGATTCACTGCTTTGCAGTTTTGATACTAACAGAAATTTTAGTCTTTTGCAGAGCACAGGCTCTGGACGCGCAGGCTCAGCGGCCATGGCTCACGGGCCCAGGTGGACTCTCAACCACTGTGCCACCAGGGAAGCCCTAGTCTTTTTTTTAAAAAGAGTTCTTAATGATTAACAAAGGACAAAGAGGAAAAAAAAAAAGTAAAAGCCAAACTTTCTATTTTAAAAACAGTTTAAAATACCAAGTGTGCTCATAATTACACAATTTACCACTGATATTTTGTACTCACAAAGGAATAGAATTATTCAGTGTTTTTTTTTTTTGGTAACTTGAATATTTCTCCTTGACTAAAAAGTATCAATCCGTCTGAGAATATAAGTGGAAAACAACCGCTATTTTAAAATATCTTAATAAGCAAAATTATCGAAGTGTTTAGAATGTTTAATGAATCAGATTAGCTCAGATTCTAATCACAAATAATTAATGTGAAAATTTCTTTAAAGGAAAAAACTTAAGTTCTTTCACAATAAGCTTGAGATTTTGCTAACCAAGGAGACTAACAATTTTTCCTTCTAAATCTAATGGACAGTTTTCAGTCCTTACTCAACATCAACTCAGCCTAAACTAGCTACTCTTTCCTTCTTGAAATGTTCTCTTTCTTTGGTTCCTGGTTTTTCTTTAGTTTCAGGTTCCCGATCTATTTTTTTTTTTTTTAACCTCTGTCTCTTGTAAGTGATAATGCTCAGACTTGCGTCTTCACCTAGGAAGACTGGGATGATTGATGAAAGTGATGGACTCATTTATTATGTGTATGTTAACTTGCCATCTGAATCACCTAACCAGGTCTCTCTTCCATACTCCAGACCCAGGTACTCATTTCTTTCATTCAACTAATATTTCCTGGGTACATACTGTGAGCCAAGAATGCTAGATCCCAGAGATTTGGCAGTGGACAAAATAAGCAGGGTTCCTGTCCTCCTGGAGCTTATGCTATTGTGATACTGAGAGAGATCACATAATTACACAAAAAATAAATTATACAGAACAAGGGCATAGGCCAACGAAATCTAACCCAGTCTGTGAGTTGGAGAAGGTTTCTCTTGATTAAATGACATTTCAATTGAGATTTTAAAAGGACAAGCAGAAGTTAGTGAGGCATTCCAGAAACCAAAAGAAAACATGTAGCTTTGACATAGTAAAGCAGTAGGACATGGCATGAACCTTAAGGTAGACAGGGGCCAGAATATCTGGGAAACATTATGTTTTATTTTATAAAGGATGGTGTCCGTATATGATATAGTTGAGCCCAACAGACTACAGACTGTGGGACTTCACATTTCTTTTCTTCTTATGCCTCTGATCAAGGGAAGCTCATGTTCTACTTTGAGGACAGGCAATAGATACTATGAAAACAGTGGGACTGGTTGCAGTCTTCAGGAATCGGCAATCCGGGTGTGGAAGGGCAAGGAGACTGGCTGGGCTGCCAGAGCAGCAGAGGTGGTTAATGAAAACTGGTACCTTGGGAGGGGAAAAGCAATGTGCTTTTATAAAATTTTCAAAAGTAAATACTGTAAGTGCAGTTAGTTAAGATCATGGGCTCTTTCCACTCTCACTTTTCCTGTCCTATTTTTTCTCATCTTGGATGTTGGCCAAAGCATTCTGGGTTGGCTAAGGGGAAGCTGAGTTCGAGACACATTTAGTTTGGATTTAGTGGGATACAGTTTTGTGGCTCACGACATGTCCTGTGGAGTTACGCTATTGCTAGCCATCTTGGTGCAGCAGTGGGTTCCAGAAATGCTCCCACAACCTTAGTGTCACACATGAAAACATAAGGTTCAATACAAAGCTAATGCACCACTACGTGTAATGAGTAACTGAGCCACTGTACACCTGTTTTTCTGGCATAACAGTGCTTTTCTTTCATTCTTTAACATGTCCCAGTTTGGATGAGAAATAGGGTTATCCTGTTAATAAATTAAATCATAAGTCAATACATTAATAAATGTCAAATCAAACTGTATTAAAGATTCATTATAATAAAACTTGAAGTGTCTTGAATATTATGTATATACATATGTATAATACATGAAAGAAATAATAGATTCTCCTAAAATTAATTTTAGAAATTTACATGACATTACCAGTAATTGAGCTATGGCTCTAAAAAACTTAAAAAAAAATTACCAATAAACAAATTTCGATCAGCCACACTAGAGAAAAGACTCGATTACTTTTCTATTCTCTCCATAGGGATATCACAAAATCTGACATTTCATGTGGTAATCAGTATACAGCTAAAAAAGAAAGTATTTTACAGATGAGTCTGAATTTTCTAACATTTGTGGTATTTGTCAACTTTTGAAAATCTGTACTTCGTTGATTTCTTTTGCCAGCCTACATAAATATTACTTTTGTTTTTTTAATTCTATAGCTATAATTTTGCATTCTTTTTCTCAAAATGGGGTCTCCCAAATGGTACAAACTTCAGGCTGACCCAGGAGACCTGGAGTTGCCCTTGCTGGGCACAAGCCTAAGCACCAAGGGTTAGCAGCCTCTCCCCTCACCCCCCTTCCTTAGCTGCTGCAGCGCCCAATCCTCACTCTCACCACGCAACCCCTGCGGTCCCACGGCCGAGGGCGTGGCCCACAGCTCCCAACCGCTGCACAATGCTTCTGCTGCCTGGAGGTTCTCCCTCTGCTTTCATAGCCACAGGACCTCACGCAATACACCAAGAGCGGGTGCTGCTTTCACTCTCCCCACAAACTTGTGCTCTGTTCTCAGGGAACAGTGTCACCAGTCACTGGCGGTCAGGTCAGTGATCCCGAGTCAACCTCAACTCCCTCCTCTTCGTCACCTACAATGAGCAGCAGGGTCTTGTGATGCTCACCTCCTTTATGTTTCACCATCTAGCCATTTTCCACCTCCAGGTGTTTTTCGAAAACTTGCCATCAGAGACAGCTTTCTAAAATGCAAATCTCTCAGTCCTCTGTTTAAAAATCCTTCAGTAGCTCCCCTTTCTTCAAGGGATAAACTGCAAACACATTCAAGTGTTTGAAAAGTACTGTAATTTACTTCTCAGTGACTTGAGGTTCCTCAATTACCTAGTCTCTGCGTTTCTCCTGCCATACCAGCCACTAGTACCTTATTTTCTGTCTGTTAGCTGTGTGACTATACTAACAATACATAAACACACATATTTTTCCTGAATGCAGGCCTTTACTCCTGGTTGTACTGAAGAATTCAACTTAAGTGAGAGCTCCACTGGTGAGCCCTCCAGGATTCCCACAGTACTGTAATTACCCTTTGCACAGCCCTTATCGCACTGAAAGGTCAGACTGACCATCTCCTTTCCTACTACAAACCAACCTTACTCACCATTGAGTACAGCATTAACAAGTCAGCCTGTAAATATTTCTCGCTTATGCAACTGAAAAATAAGGACTATTAGCTAATGGGCTATTTTTTTTTAAAAAAAAAACAAGTTTATTGAGGTGTATCTTAGATGTCAAAAAGTTCACCCATTTCAAGTGTATGACAGTAACTTTACCAAACGGTCTAACCACCAGCATCGATCAGTTTTAGAACATTTTCACACATACACCCCCATAGACCCCCCCACAACCATTTACCCTTATTCCTTGTGCCCACTTCTAGCCCCAGGCAACCCATAATCTACTTTCTGTTATCTACTGGTTTGCCTTTTCTGGACATATCATACAATTAGTAATCTCGTGTTTCTGGCTTCTTTTACCTAGATTAAAATTTCTGAGGTTTAGGGACTTCCCTGGTGGTCCAGTGGTTAAGATTCTGTGCTCCCAATTCCAGGGGGCTGGGTTTGATCCCTAGTCAGGGAACTAGATGCCACATGCCGCAACGAAGATCCCACATGCTGCAACTAAGACCCGGCACAGCCAAATATATAAAGAAATATTTTTTTAAAATTTCTGAGGTTTATCCATGAAGTAGATGTGTCAGTTTGTTTCTTTTTATGACCGAACGATATCCCACTGTAGGAATATACTGTGTTCTATCTATTCACCAGTCACTGGATATTTACATTGTTTCCAGTTTTTGGCTAGAATATGAATAGTGCTGCTATGAACAACTGCTTGCAAGTTTGTGTACGGACACGTTTTCATTTCTCCGGGGTAGGTACCTAGGAGAGGAATTGCTAGGTTTTATGGTACTTTTATGTTTAAATTTTGAGACATCCACAAGCCATTTTCCAAAGAGCTACACACCGTTCTGCATCCCCCAGGAATGAGGGTTACTCCACGTCCTCACCAGCATCTGTAATTGTCTGTCTTATGTATAACAGCTATTCTAGTGGGGGAGAAATGGTACCTCATTATGGCTTTAATCTGCATTTCCCTGATGATTAATGACATTGAGCATCTTTCATGTACCGATTAGCCAATTGTATATCTTCTCTGGTAAATGTCTGTTCATATATTTTAACCATTTTCTTTGGTTGGACTGTCTTCTTATTGAGTTTTAAGAGTTCTAGGAATTCCAAAAACAAGTCCTTTATAGGATACGTTCTGCAAGTATTTTCTCCCGGTCTGTTTGTCTTTCACTTACTTAATAGTGTCTTTTGAAATGTACATGTTTTAAATACAATGAGAACAAACTTATCATTTGTTTTCTTTTATGGACTGTGCTTTTGGTGTCTTATCTTAGATATCTTTGCTCAATCCACTGAAGATTTCCTCCTTTTTTCTTCTGGAAGTTTACTTTTAGCTCTTAATTTTAAGAGTATAATCCATTTGAGCTAGCCTTTGTGTATACTGTGAGGTAAGAATTATGCAAATGAAAATTAAAACAAATGTGAGACACCACTACACATCTACTAGAGCCACCAGAATCTGGAACACCGACAGCACCAAATGTTGGCGAGGATGTGGAGCAACAGGAACCCTCACTCACTGCTGGTGGGAACGCACACTGGAACAGCCACTGTGGAAGACAGTTTGGCGGTTTCTTATAAAACTAAACATAATCATAGGATCCAGCAACTGTGCTACTTGTTATTTACCCAAAAGAGTTGAAAAGTTATGTCCACACAAAAACCTGCACGCAATCTCTATAGCAGCTTTATTCATAATTGCCAAAACTTAGAAGCAACCAAGATGTCCTTCAGTAGGTGAATGGATAAACAAACTGTGGTGCAACTAGACAATGGAATATTATTCAGTGCTAAAAAGCAATGAGCTGTCAAGCCAGAAAAAGACACAGAGGAACCTTAAGTGCATATTACTAAGTGAAAGAAGCCGATCTGAGAAGGCTACAGACTGTATGATTCCAATGTGGAAAAGACAAAACTACGGAGACAGTAAAAAGATCAGTGCTTGCCAGAAGCTAGAGGGGAGGGAAGAATGAATAGGCTCTCACAGAGTTTTAGGACAGTGAAAATACTCTGTATGATACTATAATGGTGGATTCAAGTCATTATATATGTTAAAACCCACAGAATACACACTAATATAAACCATGGACTTTGATGCTTATGACACGTCCATACAGTCTCACTGATACCAGCGAACACACCACCTTAGGGGGTGATGATGGTGGGGAGGCTATGCCTGTGTGGGGCAGGAAGTACACGGGAACTCTGTGCCTTCCGCTCCACGTTCTGAACCCAACACTGCTACAGAAAACAAAGCCTATCTAACAAAATAAAAAGGGTGACAGACCTGAATATGAAACATAAAACTATAAAACTTTAGAAGAATACACAGGAGAAAACCTTTATGAGCTGGAGTTAGGCAAAGATTTCTTACCTAAACACAAGCGCCTGAATTATAAAAGAAAAAAAATTGTCAAACTGAACTTCAAAACCAGAACCTTCTGCTTTTCTTTTTTAAAATAAATTTATTTATTTATTTATTTTTGGCTGCATTGGGTCTCCATTGCTGCGTGTGGGCTTTCTCTAGTTGCGGCAAGCGGGCGCTATTCTTCGTTGCGGTGCGCAGGCTTCTCACTGCGGTGGCTTCTCTTGTTGCAGAGCACAGGCTCTACGCATGTGGGCTCAGTAGTTGTGGCGCAAGGGTTCTAGAGCACAGGCTCAGTAGTTGTGGCGCACGGCATTTGTTGCTCCGTGGCATGGGGGATCTTCTCAGACTAGGGATCGAACCCATGTCCCCTGCACTGGCAGGCGGATTCTTAATCACTCACTGCGCCACCAGGGAAGTCCCCCTTCTGCTCTTTGAAAGACACTTTAGGAAGTCAGATTGGAAGAAAATATTTGCAAAGCACATGCCTAATGAAAGGCTTGTATCTAGAATGTATAAACAACTTTCATATTTCAATAACAATAAGCAACAATGTTTTAAAAGGGCAAAACATCTGAAAAGGTACTTCACCAAAGAACAGATACAGACAGCAAATAAGCACATGTTAAGATCCTTAATGTCATTAAGGAAATTAAAACCACTATGAAATACCACAATACTCCTATCAGAAGGGCTAATATAAACACAAAATGATAAATTCAAGTGCTGACAAGAATGGAGACTAGAACTCTCATACACTAACATCTGGCAGGTTCTCATAAAGTTAGAAATAAACTTACCTTACAAGCAGCAATTTCATTCCTAGGTATTTACTCAAGAGAAAAGAAAACATACGTATGTCTACACAAACACCTGTATGTAAATTCTATTCATAAAATCTCCCCAAACTGGAAACAGCCCAAATGTCCATCAACTGGTGAACATATAATATTGTGGTATCCATACAATGAAATGAGCAGAGCAATAAAAACTACTGATACAGGCAACAACATGATTGAATCTCAAAAGCATTGTGCTAAATGGAAAAGCCAGACACAAAAAGGCAAAATATTATATGACTCCATTTATATGAAGTTGTGGAATAGTCAGAATTATGGAGACAGAAATTAGATCAGTAGCTGTCAAGGACCGGGTGTGGTGGAAGGAGACTGACTACATAAAGGCACAAGAGGGAACTCTGAGGGGTGATGGAAAGTCTGCATCTTGACTGTGATGACGGTTGCATGACTGTATGTATTTATCAAAACTCATAACTGTACCTAAAAAGGGTGAATTTCTTATTGTATATGTTATATATCTCAGTAACCCTACTTTAAAAAAAAAAAAAAAAAGAAAACTCAGTCCAGTACATTTGAATGTTTCCTTTCCTTTCTTTCCCTCCCTCGCTTAGGACCTGGAGTGGAAAAAGGGCAGGCCCTCTCTTCTGCTACTAGTTCCATTCCTCCCTTGTTAGGGTGGAGGTGGTGGGAGAGCCAGACCACATGCTGAGCACGTCACTGCAGGCCTCTGCTAGGTGTCTTGTCACTGCTCCTCTGGCTTCCCCTGGCAGGCATCACGTGTGGGTGTTATCAAATATTGGCTTTCTTAATGGCTGTGACCCCTGAGGGGCCAACCCCACTGAACAAGTCACTATTGTGGAAGAACTGCTGTGTCTTGACTTCACACCCTCCCACCCTCCCTAGCACCACTCTGCTCTTCTGATTCTGGGGTCGCCTCAACCACTGGCCTGGCCTGGGTCTCAGCACAACAGCTCAAGCCTGGGTCTCTCTGAAAGTATCTATCTGAGCCCAGGAAAGATCCACATGTCTCCAGGTGAGAACATGGGCTTCTCTGCCACGATGCTCACGCTCGACCCTGCCGTTTCTCTTCCTGATTCTCTTCACAAAGGTTCAGGAGGCACCTAAGCAGACATCCCACCTAGAATAAGACGCCAGTCTCCTTTTCTTAGAAGCACCCTCCATCTCCAGGAGCCATTCTTGTTGTTGTAGAATCCCTTATAGATGAAGGAAAAAGCCACTCTATTCCCACTAGACTAAAGACTCCAATTATTTTTCCTTCTCTTTTTACTGACCCATTAACAGGGAAAACTCCCAAGTCTATAGCCTAAGCAGATAATCAATGGGGAATGATATGCCAATTTCCCTTCTTGTGAAGTGTTGCATATGAAGTAAAAATAAAAGTTTACAGGTCCACTTACCCTACTTCATAAGATGCTAGGCCCTCTTTAACTAGCTGGTCATTAACACTGGTAGGAGTCATTTCAGGAGCACCAAGAAAATCGAAAAGCTCAACTAAGAGCACATTGTCTTCCAGAATTCCTGTAAAACCATTAAGACTAGTTTGGGGAAAGAAACAAATATGTCCCAAAATATACTAAAGAGCAATTTTTAAAAACCTGAGAACTTAATTTCCTTCATTTTGCATCCATGAGGTTTCCTGCTCAATAATGTCAGTCTCTCTCTAGGGGTAAAAGTAGCATTTTTCACACATAAAAGAACTGCCAATGTTAATAAAATTTTCATTTTAGGTTACTGTGTACTGTTCCATAATGAACCAAAGGCAGCTTAAATCTTTTAGATTCAGAAAAAGCATAGTGACATATACTTATTGAAGCAGCATTCTGTTGTGCTTTTAAACTGTTTTATTGGATTCTGCTGAATTCCAGAGGACAAATGAATGAACGTTAATTCAGGCCAGTGCTTATTTGCAAAGTTTTACAGCTTTTATAAGAATGGCACCAAAAAAACAACAACAAAAAACCAGCACAAAGTTTAAAACAACAAAAACTCAACCCAGAGCATTAAGTGGAATTTTTCCCCATCCTTCTGTTTTTAGGACAAACCATTAGGTCTATTTCTTAATCTGAACTGGGAGTTAGCTGAGGGTAAAGTTACACCCTGTGTGCCTATTTACTTATTTATAGTACATAGCATAGAGAACCTGCTCAATATGCATTTGAATAAACGACAGAGGAATTTCTTTAGAAAACACACAGTTCTATGCACTGAGATCGGTTTATGCCTATACTTCTATACAATAGTAGCTGGCAGGTGCTAAGGGAATGATGATTCCAAATAAAAAGATAACTCATTACCAGCAGTAACATCCTATTACCTAGTTATAAGAATACATGTTAGAAAGCTTTTTTTCAAGAGCTTAAAAATCATTCCTCACTACTTCTTTAATGGACCAGAAAAATTATCTAGAAACAAAAAGCTAAGCAACTCTGAGCCTCAGTAAACTCTAATCTCCTCACTTTCCATCTCTTGTGTTCCCTTTAGTGCTTTGATTTCATACTGCCCATGCACAAGTTCTTTATTCCACAGGGCCAGCTTCCCATGGTGCTGTACCTTCACCATCTTCCCTGCTCTGCTCCTAATTAAAATTTAAATGTCTCTTCCTTTGTAAGGTAACAATGTATACTAATCTCATCACTGTGCAGGTTAAAGGGGAAATATGTTTTAGGTCGGTGGGGCCTTCTAGTATTCCTTAAATCAAATTATCTAGGTTAAGATACACTACAACTTGTGTTTAGATATTACTGGTATAACAAGTAATTGAGAATGAAAAAGGGGGAGTCAAGAGAGAAACCCAGGAGGTCTTGTCTTCATGGGTTAACCTCGGGAGGAGATGTTAAAGGGAGAGCTAAAAACCAACAGAATAAAATACCAAAAGAAAAGCTGAGAAGCAGAATTAAAGCACATTAAAGTCAGCTCAAAATCAGTGGAGATAACTCAAGACTAAGAGGCCCTTAACTCACTGTTTATAACAGAGAATCCAGACATAAAAATTCTACAGACTAAGGGTACAATTTCTACCATCATATTCCTCTTCAACAGAGCTACTACGTCAGAACAATGTCTTATGTTAAAGTGAATAAATTAACACAAATACGCAATCATTTCTAGGTTATGTGGCCTTGAGCAATTGATCTTTAAGCTTCAATTCCCTCATATATGTACTTACAAGTACATATATCATGGTATTTTGGGTTTACTAGATGGGAGTATGATGAAAATGAAAAAAATGGATACAGTAAAAAGTACCTTTTGAAGTCCCTTAAGTCAACCCTAAGTAAACATGCTCGTGTGTATCCTGCACTAGTACTTGTTAAGACCAACACAGGAACGTTGGTCACAGCTTTGGAAAAGATCAAAATGCCAGATAATAACAGCTTTCAAATCCTCCATCCAAATCCCTTGGGGCCAGATGTGTTTCAGCATTCTTCAAATTGAGAAAAGCTATACAGAACATATATTGCTTATTTTGTAATACCCACAGCGATTCTGAGGCAGCAGCTCAGAAGCGAACATCACTATCCTGAAGTGGAATATATCTCACTGTAAAGGAGATCAATACAACATATAGCATTGTATCTTCATGTAAATTCAGATCAGATTTTGCCATTAAACTTGCTGGGTTACCAAACTGTGGGCTAGCGCTCAGCCTGTGTATCTCAGACCCAAACTGTTCCAAAAAAGAAGCAACTTTTTTTCAAAATATGCCGAGAGCCTATACTTAAAGTTTCCTCAAGTAGAATGAAACAAAAACAAAAAAAACTATTTACCAGTTATGTCCCATCTCCCCTCACTTTCCTGCAAATTATACCTTAGCATCCATCACTCCAAGATGAGGGACAGAGACCCAGGACAAAAGCAGAGAGAAATAAGAGAAGCTAACTCCTTGCTTTAGGGCTTTCAAAGGGCCATGCTGAGGGTGACTTGATCTTCAATGGAAATTTTTGCCGCATGTACTGATTTTAGGCTCTAGAGCCTGCAGAAGATATTATTCCATTGTCCCCAGTTCTCAATAAATGTTCTCTCTCACTACTCATACTGATGACACATTGAATTTATTATATGATCTGACAAATGTTATATCATAATGCTAGTCTTATTTAAAATTATGATCATATAGCAACAAATAAAAATGGAAATAGCTTACTAATGACTGAACATGTCATAAACTTATCTTGAGTCTTTTCTTGAAATTTTTCTGTAGCTTCTTTTGACCACTGCAGTGTCCCTTTACATGGTTCAATATAGGCCAGCTTACATTTAATTGCCTGTGTCAAACAAAATTGCACCATTTAGAAAGTAAACTTAATTTAGTTATTTTAGAATTAAAATAAAGTGTTAAATGTGTACAAAACTAAACTTTGCATTTGAATTTAATACATATTTAGAAAACAAACAAATGTCCAAAGATGTCTCTAACAGTACTTTATAAATGCAAACAGTTGGAATCAGCAGAGTATGGGATTAAGAGGTACAAACTATTATGTATAATAAAATGAGCTACAAGGATATATTATACAGCACAGGGAATATAGTCAATATTTTACAATAATTATAAATGGAGTGTAACTTTAAAAATCATGAATCACTATATTGTACACTTGCAACTTATATACTGTACATCAATTAAAAAAATAAAATCCGTAATAACCTATTAAAAAAAATCCAAACCAAAAATGAAACAAACAACAAAAAAAGAGTATTTTGTTGAATGAATTATTGTACACTCAGACAATGGAATAATAAGCATCCACTGAAAGAACTGATACATTGTTCAATGAAAAATCAAGTTATAGGACTATATATAGTCTAATCCCATAATTCTTAAAAACACACAGAATTCTTAAAATTCTTAAATACAAGATATACTTGTATCTTACAAGTACATATATCAAAAATATTGAATAATTCTGAGTGATTCCCCCCTCATTTTACTCATCTGTATTTTCAAATTTTTCCTGTATCATTTTACCCATTTTTAAATGAAAAATACTGCTTAATAACAACTCAAATACTAGGAGTATATGAATTAGGAAATAAACCTCCTTAAACTTATCTCTGGGGAGTAGGATTCCAAGAGAAGTTTTTTTATTGATACTTATTCTTCCAGACTTCTCTCTTTCTCTGGCACACATTATATAAACTTAAACATAAATGGGATCACAGTAAAATCATTTCTGTAATCAGTTTTTTTCACATATCATATTCTTACTACCTTACACAGACATTTCAAAATAACACTAAAAGCTGCACACCAGTAAGTACTTACAAGAACACAAATATATACACGTTTATAATTAATGCTTATTTGCTAAGATACATATTATTTTTTAAACAGTAACTATACTCTTTTCTTTAGCCCATGAATCAGAAATTATTTACAGAAAAAGTGAAGTTAAAAGAACATTTCTACAGTGAAAATAACTTCTAAAAATACTTTCATATTTGTGCTAATATTCTAACCCTATGATTTATGAGTAGATTACCTTCTCTGCAGGATTCAGAAACTCATCCTTTATTTTACGCATTTCTCTAAGTGTTATTTTTGCTGTATTGCCAAAATCCACATATTTAACTTCAACTTCACGATGTCCAGGCAATCCTTCAAAAATTATAAAATTGGAAATCACAAACTTGGAAAAAAAAGAATTATCTAGCAAAATTTAGACCGATCTACAATCAACTAGATTCGAACACTTTTATGTTCAACATACAAACTTAATATTATTTTAATGTAAAAAACATTTCTAATATGTGAACTTCACAAAATCAACCATAATGCATGGCTGTTCAGACTCGGTGAATGAGAAACTAACAATTTAAAGATATCTAAGGCTTCTCTGGTGGCGCAGTGGTTGGGAGTCCGCCCGCCGATGCAGGGGACACGGGTTCGTGTCGCGGTCCGGGAAGATCCCACATGCCGCGGAGTGGCTGGGCCTGTGAGCCATGGCCGCTGAGCCTGAGCGTTGGGAGCCTGTGCTCCGCAACAATGGGAGAGGCCACAACAGTGAGAGGCCCGCGTACCGCAAAAAAAATAAATAAATAAATAAATAAAGATATCTAAAGGACAAACAAAATCAGGATAACAAAATAGCCATCAAATGCTAGGTATTATGGCCTAAAAGTTAAGAATTAGGTTTGGAGTTAGACACTTAAATGACATGTGACTCTGAGAAAGCTAATTAATCTCTCTAAGATACTACCCTGAACAAGTTACTTTTTCTCTGTAGGCCTCATTATTTCACCTGTAAAGTGGGTGTACCAATAGAATCAAATCTTATTAAGACTCTTTTTGAGGACTCACCTATTTAAAATACTCTGCAAAGAACCAAGCATAAAATAAGCACTTAATGTTAGTCAACATAGGTAATCAACGCAAAAGACTTCATGATCAAGACACAGGTTCATTCATATAATAATATCTAATTGTGAAATTTAAAAAAATTATCTGGGGATATTGTGAAAAATGAGCAGAAACAGACCTCTAGTGAAACTAGTTTTCATATTTTAAAGGATACCAAAGAAACCTCTGGAAGGTTTGAACACATCGAAGTTTGAAGAAAGATCTATCATAAACTGACCTTTTTGCAAATACTCAGAATATGAAATATGACTGACTTTAGTCCCCTAAGCACACGTATATACAATGCTACAAAACTTGTTGCCATTACTTTCAAATTTAAAAACTAATACATATAATTTCAAAACGGAAAAAGTTTGGGCATTCTCTGCCCCTTGGTAGAAGTGAAAGCAGATGTAACAACACTGGCACGCTCGAGATGGCACTCAAGCAGCTCAGGTACCTGAGAAGACATGTGTGCCCTAAGAGTAAGGTAAAGAGGTGAGGGGACCTTGCCCTGTTTCCACTGGAATCCTCACGCAAGAAAGATAATCTCAAGTGTAATGACACCATTAGATTCTTACCATTCCTCAAGTCCCTGAATACAAATGCGGTTTTAAACAAAAACAAACAAATGGATATGGGATGGGACTTAAAGAACAGTTTCCCCCGAATTATCAATCATGTGTGAGTAGAATCGGGAGGCCATGGAAGGTCTCAAAATTTCCCTTCCATTTATTCTCTCTGAGGAAAATGCTCCACCAAAATATGGGAGTAAACCGAAAAGGTAAATGAGATCCAGAAAACAAGCAATCCAATTTAGGAAAACAAGTGAAATAAACTCCCAGAATAACAAGCCTAGGGGACAAGCAGCCTAACTGGAGCAGATAATAGGATGTTTTCACTGTTACGAAAAATAAAAAAAAATCAAACCAGCATTATCTGGAAAGTCTAATCATGTGGAAAATTGTTTTAAACTATTGGGAAAATATAGCCATAGGTTACTGGGTTGGCCAAAAAGTTCTTTCTGTTTTTAAAGTAAAAATAAAAGACACATTTTTCATTTTCACCAAGCACTTCATTGAACAACATATTCACCCTTTTTGTTCCACTACCTTCTGCCATTTTTCAGGCAACTTCATAATTTGATCTTCCCAAAACTTTTTATCTTTTTGAGCAAAGAACTGTTCCAGGTGCCTTTTACAGTCTTCCAGGAGATGGAAATTTTTTCCATTAAGAGAATTTTGTGAAGACCGAAATAAACAGAAATCTGAAGGTGCAATGTCTGGTGAATACAGCGGATGAATCAGAACTTCCCAGCCAAGCTGTAACAGTTTTTGCCTGGTCATCAAAAAACATGCGGTCTTGTGTTATCCTGATGGAAGAGTATGTGTTTTTTCTTTTTTCTTTTTCTTTTTTGGCGGTACGCAGGCCTCTCACTGCTGTGGCGGAGCACAGGCTCCAGACGCGCAGGCTCAGTGGCCATGGCTCATGGGCCTAGCCACTCCGCGGCATATGGGATCTTCCCAGACCGGGGCATGAACCCGTGTCCCCTGCATCGGCAGGCAGATTCTCAACCACTGGGCCACCAGGGAAGCCCAGAGTATGTGTTTTCTGTTGACTAATTCTGGACGCTTTTCGTCGAGTGCTGCTTTCAGTTGGTCTAATTGGAAGCAGTACTTGTTGGAATTAACCGTTTGGTTTTCCGGAAGGGGTGCATGACAGAGGATTCCCTTCCAATCCCACTATATATACGACATCACCTTCTTTGGATGAAGACTGGCCTTTGGTGTGGTTGATGGTGGTTCATTTCGCTTGCCCCACCGATCTCTTCCGTTCCACATTATTGTACAGTATCCACTTTTCATCCTCCGTCACAATTTGTTTTAAAAATGGAATGTTTTTGTTACGTTTCAGTGGAGAATTGCATGCGGAAATACAGTCAAGAAGGTTTTTCTTGCTTAACTTATGTGGAACCCAAACATCAAAGTGATGAACGTAACCAAGCTGGTGCAAATGATTTTCAACCCTTGATTTGGATGTTTTGAGTATGTCAGCTACTCAAAAGCATCTCCAGCATGGTGTAACGCTGACTGTTCTCAATTAATGTCTCTATTTGATCGATACCAACTTCAACTGGTCTACCTGACAGTGGAGCATCGTCCAGCGAGAAATCTCCAGCATGAAACTTCGCAAACCACTTTTGACACGTTTTATCAGTCACTTGCACCTTCTCCACACACTGCACAAATCTATTTTTGCGTTTCAGTTGCGTTTTTACCTTTCTTGAAATAATGAAGCATAATATGCCGAAAATGTTGCTTTTTTCTCTTCCATCTTCAAAATTAAAATGGCTACACAAATTTCACCAATTTTGATAAGTTTTTTTTTTAATGCACGCTGATATGACAGCTGTCATAATACAATCTAACAAACTTGTTTCGAATGAAGTTAAAGACAACTAAGTGCTATGAGATCCATCTTATGGGAGAAACAAATGAACCTTTTGGCCAACCCAATAAAAGAAAGTGAAAAATTGATGCAATTATTAACTCAGAATTAAAGTATACTTCATGGAGTAGCACTGAGAATACCTGCATAGAATAAGAATATAACTAAAAATTGTGATATATCAATAACTATGTGGGGGGAGAGAGGGGACAAAAGAGCTACAAGAGATCTAAAATTCATCTAACATAATTAATACCTAAGACTGAAGTACCTACAAAGTATTACATATTATTTAGAAGAAACAACACAGATAAATGACAAAAAGTATTTGCCTTTTTGGGGGAGAGTGGAGTATGTGTCATTTACCAGTATTTAACTTTTTAAATAAGGCAAATATTAGAAAACAAAAAAAAAATGGTGAAGTCCTAGTCAAATCGAATGAAATCTAAGGAGCCAAGAGGTTCATCTATCAACACTATTGCTAGCTTTCTAAAGAGCAAAACTGCAAGATCAAATAATATCACTTTCATGATTTAATTTGTACTGACTCAAATAGTATTAATTTTTAAGCATAACACTTCCCTGAGGAAATAGTGTGCAATTTCCTACCGATAACTTTTGCTCGGTACCAAGCTCCATCTTCAAATTTAGCTACACAGGCTTGATCTTGAACTGGACAGAGGATTTCCAGATTTTCTGCATCTTCATTTTTATAGAATTCCTCAATTGCCTTTAATAGAAATAAAAAATCCAGGCTCTCTATCTAAGAAACAGAGTTAAAGCAGGGATTAAAGCACTGTAGCTTCATAGAAACTTAAAATTTAAGTGTTGCATGTTTATAGGCACTGCTCATAAAATTATGAAATATTAGAATTGAATTAGATATAAACTGTCATGTAATTTATATCTGAAATATTTTGTTACAGAAGTAGTATATAAAATTAGCATATATAAACATGACAAAATTTTTTTAAAATCACATTTTTCCAGATATCTAAAATGTATAAGCTTCTAGGTATTTTTCTTTTTTTTTTTTGGCTGCGCTGTGCAGCTTGCGGGATCTTAGTTCCCCCATCAGGGACTGAACCCAGGCCCACAGCAGTGAAGGCGCTGAGTCCTAATCACTGGACCACCAGGGAACTCCTGCTCCTAGATCTTTTTCTAAGCACACTTTCCATACCTTTTTTGTATGTACCAAAAATGAGACCATACCATACATATAATTTGATAATCTGCATTTTTCTATCAATTCTCACTTTTTCTGCTTCAGTAAGTGTTCCCACTAGTACTTCTAGACCATATTAGATTTCCCTAACTGACCAAACACGGTATCCAATCTAAGACTACATGTTATATTTGGTTATCTCAATAAGTCTTATAATTTAGTGTAGTGTTCTTTTTAAAATGACCCTGTCTTATTAAAGACAGTGTGCTATTTTTCTGCAGAATGCCCCATCTTCTGGATTTATGTGGTTATGTTTTCATCCTGTTATTTATCTTGTTCCTCCACTGAGGAGGGCCTATCCCTGGAATTTATCCCAAACTGAGAGTTATATCTACAAGTTTGATGGATTCAAGCCAAACCTTTTGGCTAGAATACGTCAAGTTGCAACACATCAAGACACAATATTACTGACTCACTAATGATATGCTAAGATTCACCTACGGAAAGGGCTTGTGATTCTCATCCCTTCATTATACGGTTACGTTTTCCCCTTGTGGTCACCAAGTAATTCATATAGTACTACTTTGGCATTGTATGAATGTCCAATTTCCCATCAGCCATCCATCTAATGGTTTTAATGTGAATTGCTAAATCTTCTTTAAATCAATCATTTCAGTAGAGTTTGTGAAATGACTGCATAATTGAATAGAGCTTTATCTTATTAAATGGGACTATTTGGTTACTTTAAGATCTGATGTTCTTATACTGCTTAAAACACAGCTCCTAAAACAAAACCAAGGATAAATGCTTATTTTTCCAAATACCAATTCTTAAGATGAAAAATATTTTAAAATCCATCTCAAATGGTCAAAAAATGAAGTTTTTCTCTTTTGTGGGTATAATAATGCAAGTGGAAATTTTCTGAATCTTTTGTTATTTCATATAAATTATTTTCACAACACTTTAAACCTTTTAAACTTTTCTTTTTTTCCCCAGTACATTGTTGTAATTGTTCTATTTTATTGTTGGTTATTGTTGTTAATCTCTTGCTGTGCCTAATTTATAAATTAAACTGTATCTTAGGTATACATGTATAGGAAAAAACATCATATATACAGGGTTCAGTACTGTCCACAGCTTCAGGCGTCCACTGGGAGTCTTGTATCCCCTGCGGACAAGGGGGGACTACTATATGTGATAGAGGAAATGGACAGAGGTCTGGATGCACATACTGTAAACCTTTGTAGGTATTATTCATATTCTTCCATTAACAGATTACCCAAATGGAACATTGCAAAATTCAACAGAGACATGACATCAGCAAAGTAGCAGACTCTGAAGCTCTTGTTTCCCCACAGAAACACTGAAAAAATGAGAAACCATCTGAGCCAACTTTGTTAGAGCTCTGGGAAACAGTTAAAGGCTTACAGCACCCAAGCAAATACCCAATCAAGCTTTCAACATTCAAGGAAATCAACACAAACATTTGCTGAACACGAGCTAAAAGAACAGAGAGACTTCAGTGATCACGTATTAGGAACAGTATTTGTAAGAATAGCTTGAAAGTCTTAAAATAAACCAACTACTAGTCTTCAACAATTTTTAAAAATCCAGGATGTGTGTGGGAGGTGATCTGATTTTCAGAGTTATATAATAGTCAATGCCCAATTTTCAACAAGAAATCAGAAGGCATACAAAGAAAACAGGAAAACATGGCTCATTCCAAGGAACAAAATAGACAGAAATCAGCCCTTAGGAAGCCCAGATAGTGGATTTACTAGACAAAGACTTTAGAACAACTGTCTTAAATATGCTCAAAGAGCTAAAGGAAAACATGGACAAAGAACTAGAGAAAACCAGGAAAACAATAAAGGATTAAAATGAAAGTATCAACAAAGAGACAGTAATTATAAAAAGGAATCAAATTCTGGAGCTGAAAAGTACAATAACTGAAACAAAAAATACTCTGGAGGGGTTCAATAGCAGATTTGAGCAGGCAAAACAGTCAGTGAACTTGAATAAAGGACAACTGAAATAGTGAGGAGCAGAAAGAAAAAAGAATTAAGTGAACAGAGACCTAAGTATTTGTGAGATATCATTAATCACACCAATATATGCATTATGGGAGTCCCAGAAAGAGAAGAGAGAAAGGAAGGAGCAGAAAGAGTATTTGAAGAAATAATGACCAAATACTTCCCAAATTTGATGAAATACACAAATCTACAAATCCAAGCAGTTCAATGTTATGGGTTGATTTATGTCGCCTCCAAAAAGATATGTTGGAGTTGTAATCCCCAGAACCTCAAAACATGACCTTATTTGGAGATAGGGTATTTATCAAGTTAAAATGAGGTCGTTAAAGTAGGCCTTAATCCAATGTGATTGGTGTCCTTATTAAAAGGGGTAAATTTGGGCACAAAGACACATACACAGGAGAATGCATGTAAAGATGAAGGCAGAAACTGGAGTAAGGCAGAAGCCACTGAACACCAAATTTTCCAGCTAACCACCAGAAGCTAGGGAAAAAGGCATGGAATAGATTCTCACTCACAACCTTCAGAAGGAACCAACACTACTAACAACTTGATGTCACACTTCTAGACTCCAGAATTGTGAGACAATAAATTTATGTTGTTTAAGCCACTTAACTTGTGGAACTTTCTCATGGCACCCCTAGGAAATGAATACAGATTTTGAAATGGGAAAGTAGGGTGCTGTTGTAATAAATACCTAACATATGGGAGAAGCTTTGAAATTGGGTAATGAATAGAAAGAAAAGGAAGAATTATGCGGTACTTGAATGAAAATAACCAGATTGCTTTGGAAAGATTACTGGCAGAAATATGGATGTTAAAGGTGCTTCTGGTGAGATTTCAGACAGAAATGAGGAATATGATACTGAAAACTGGAGGAAAGGCAATCATTGTTACACAGTGGTAGAGAACTTGGCTGAATTATGTTCTACAGGGTGAAAAGTTGAACTTGGATATTTAGCTGAGGACACTGCTAAGCAAAGTGTCAAAGTGCCAGCCAGGTTTCTCCTTGCTGCTTATAATAAAATGTGAGAGGACAGACATATACTGAAGAATAAATTGTTAAACATGAAGGAAGCAGAATCTGAAGATTTAGAAAATTCTCAGCCTATCTGTATTTCAAAAAATGAGAAAGCAAGCTCTGGAGAGAACACTAAGGGCATGGCTGGACAGTGTCTGCTCAAGAGATTATGGGTAGGGCTTCCCTGGTGGTGCAGTGGTTGGGAGTCCGCCTGATGATGCGGGGGACGCAGGTTCATGCCCCGGTCTGGGAGGATCCCACATGCCACGGGGCGGCTGGGCCCGTGGGCCACGGCCGCTGAGCCTGTGCGTCCGGAGCCTGTGCTCCACAACGGGAGAGGCCGCAGCGGTGGGAGGCCCGCGTACCGCAAAAAAAAAAAAAAAATTATGGGTGTATGAATTGTGGATCTAATCATTCATCTCAGGCAGAAACAATGCCAGCGTGAACTGACGGGGACAGAGGTGAGAGGAAATGAAGGGGGGCCGGTGGGCTTGTGGGATTCTATAGGCAGGAAGTGAGCTGACAGAGCTATTCGGTTATGAACATATGTTGCAAGAAAAGGGAAGACTGATCCTGAAGGAGATTCAGAGGCTAGTGTGTCTGCAACTGCTACTCAGGCCCAGAGGGCACAGACCTGAGAGGCAGGGCTGGTTCCTCCTCTGTTCCAGGGATGGGGCCTCCTCCTGGATTCCAGAGGGTTTGGATAAATCCTCAATTCCAATGGGTGAGGTTGCTGCCATGACTGAAGGGGTAGGGCCACCACCCTACTGGGACTGGAGGACAGAGCATCCAGCCAATGAGGATTATTCTCCAGCCATAAGAATCTAATGGAATTTTCGCTGCTAGGTTTTAGACTTACTGTCTGGTCTCACAGATTCAGAGACAGAGAGGAGTTCTGCCTCAGCCTGAGTTAAACAATTCTTACCTATACCTGATTCAGATAATCAGGGATTTAGTGATTTTATATGAGATTCTGGATTTAGATTTGATGCTAGAATGATTAAGATTTTTTGGAATGTTGGGATGGGGTTATTGCATGTGTGGAGGAAATTTTTGATACCGCAGAAAGTGGACTGCTTATGGGTTGAATTGTGTCCTCCTCCCAAAATATGTTGAAGTTCTAACCCCCCAGTACCTCAGCATGTGTCATTATATGGAGATAAGAGTTTTACCTTGATAGGTATTATCAAGTTAAAGTCTTAGGTGGGACCTAATTCAACATGACTGTTGTCTGTATTAAAAAATTGAGACAGACAAGTACACAGAGAGAATGCCATGTGAAGGAAGCAGAGACTGGGATGATGCAGCAGAAGCCAATGAGTGCTAAAGACTGCCAGCAAACCACCAAATCTAGGGGAGAGACATGGAACGGATCTTCCCTCCCAGACCGCAGAAGGAACCAACTCTGCCAACACCTTGATCTTACTTAAACTTGCAGACTCCAGAACTGTGAGAAAATAAATTTCTGCTTTTTTAAACTACCTACTATATGGCACTTTTTGGGTGAGGGGGGTGGGAGTGGGCATGCCACACAGCTTGTGGGA